GTTTGGCACGTTTGGCACGCGTAATGGAAACCCAACCTGATTTGATTAACACAGCTGCAAACTAATGAGTTCACATCCCTCTCAGCCAACCACAAACAGCCACAGCATCAGATAGGGAGTATATATTCAGCATCTGTCATCTTAGAAAAGTCAAAAGAAAAGAAACAGAGTGAGACTGCGAGAGAAAAAGAGAGAGCACGCGCACACGAGAGAAACGCAACATTGATTTACAATTGTGGTGACCTCCTCCCAGGCTACCTTTGCATCATCAGCCCGTGGAGGTCTGCTCGCAGTTCCATATATTTGGACACTGCAAGCTTGGACCTCCCGGACCAAAACATCAGTTTCCTCCTGGGAGAAGTTAGCATCACCTGATTTTGTCACCAGGCAGTGAAGACAAGTCACGGTGACAAAAAAAGACTTTCCTCTCTGATCAGAGAAAATTTTACACCACTTATAAAGATTTCTTAGCCTCCTAATTGAAGCTGATTCTTCTGAAAGACCATAGAAGTAGCATAACATGTCGTCAACATTTAAATGCTGAAACGTAATTTGCACATGAAAGCAGCAGTGTTTTCTGCATAATGGCAGAACGGCAGCAGTGGCAGGAGGGGGACCAGAAACCTACAAGTGTGTTTAAGCACAATAGTTCCCCGTGGAGCGTGTGTGGATTACACCAATAAAAACAGACTATTATCATCGCTGCTCATAAGCAAAACACTGATTCCTCCCTGATGACTCCAACACAAAACACTGGAAAAAAGAAATGCATGAAAACATTAAACAAGTGAGTGTGGGTTATTACTGAGAGGAGAATAGATCCTGTGTGTGTGTGTGTGTGTGTGTGTGTGTGTGTGTATGGGAGGGGTCAGGAGTAAATATGAAATGATGCGGCATCTGTTGAGACTTTAAGTGATATATCACTCCATTCCACTTCGTTTAGCATCACTTCGTCTGAGTTAATTGGTTCATGAGGAGCACTAATTAAGGGGGATGGCCTTGTTTATCGTCACGGCTACGCTCGTTAAGCGGAGATATCTTTTTCTTTTTTTTTCTTCCAGGACTGGTGACATTAACCCACCCTTCACAACAGTGGGTGGGTGGGGGGGATGCGTCAGCGTATATTTGCTTCAGTCTTGGATGTGGCAACTGCATTAAACAGCTCATGTGCAGCAGAGTGAAGCACACACACACACACACACACACACACACGGAGCGTAACAACACTCCACATGTGCTGTGTAACACGCTGATAACACACGCACACACAGGACCATACGTGAGATGGTAATGTGTCCTACCTCTCTGCGTCGTGACGCCCAGCAGGTCTGTTTGACTTTCCAAACCACGGCGGCGACCAGCAGCAGAGACAGGAAACAGCTGGAGAGAGGACAGGGACACAGGGTGAGTCCAGCAATCAATCAAGAAATCAATGAGTCCAAAAGTATGCAAAAAACATTCAAGTCAAGCAGAGTGAGATGGTTCATCCACCTGACACAGTGATTAACCTGTCTGGCTTTTCTACATAATAACTCCATCTGCCTCCCAGCGGGGATCATGTCAACGCCCACAAAAGCAGAGAAAACAAGCGGAAGTGATGGGAAGTGATTTGCTTGAGAGATCATGCATCTCTTTAGTGGACTTGTTGGTACTTCAGGAGCTATCCTTGCATAGCCAGACCTATCTCCACAGTGCTGTGTTAGTGCAAGAGAAAGATCTGGAGGCACACAAGATTACTCTGATAAAGAGAATAAAGTGGCAGTAGCTCAGTCCATAGGGACCTGGGTTGGGAACCGGAGGGTTGCCTGTTCGAGTCCCCGTCCGGACCAAATATGGAGCGTGGACTGGTGGCTGGAGAGGTGCCAGTTCACCTCCTGGGCACTGCCGGGGTGCCCTTGAGCAAGGCACCAAACCCCCCAACTGCTTGGGGCGCCTGACCAAGGGCAGCCCCCTCACTCTGACATCTCTCCACTTAGTGCATGTATAGGTCCTGTTTGTGCATGTGTGTATCCTTCGGACCTGTGTGTTAATGACAAGCAAGAGTGAAAACATTGAATTTCCCCTCAGGGGGATTAATAAAGGAAATAAAATTTTTTAAAAAAAGGAATATGCTCTGGCTAAACGCACCTTAATTTTCTATGTGACAACTTTGACTATACCATTAGCTTTTGTCTCTTGGATGACATACACTTTTAGTAATGAGTGGATCTTAAAGCATTTAAAAAATATATATATTACTTTTGACCGGATTTTGTTCCTGTGGGCTACGGCAACTCTAAACCCCTGAGCTTGCCTTAGAAGGACTAAATGCACAAAGCTGCTATTTTTAAATATCCCATAGAGTGCCGAAGTCACGCCACAAAGTCATACTTTGTGGTAAAACTGTTGAGATATAAGCTTTTTAATTAGAAAGACTTAAGAGTACACAGGAGGAGGTCGCGTATGTGATGTCATAGCTTTCGCTTGCTTCCTGCAGCTTGGCCTCCCCGCTGAAATTCCACTGTATTATGATTAATCGATTTATGATTGAAGATGTCTGTGTGTTTTGTGCCAGGTTGCAGTCACTCCAAGCTGCAGGAAGCGAGCGAAGGCTATGACGTCACATACGCGACCGCCTCCTGTGTATTTTTTCTAATTACATTTTTTTCAAAAGCTTATATCTCAACAGTTTTACCACAAAGTATGACTTTCTTGACCTTAAAATGTATGTTTTAAATTCATTAACGACATATTTGGATTTCATGTCACAACTCAAACAGGACCAAAAGATAATATTTCTCTCCCCATTCACTGCCATTCATATTTTACCAATGTAAGGTCCCATGAGCTTCACCGGAAGGGGCGTGACTTCGGCACTCTATGGAGAGAGACTCTCACTGCAGCCTGTTGTATATTGTTCTGAAAATGTTGGCATGCAGCCTTGTTCTGTGGACGATAAACCAGGTGCAGACTGATAAAGACCCCACCCACTGTTTGCGGTGGAAACACTAGGGTCTGAAAGTATTTAGAGTTTATTGTGAGCCACTTCAAAACAATACTCTGCAGGAAATCAACAGTGTGTAAACTTGTGTCTGTAGGGCTGCTCACGACTAAGAATTTTCCTATTCGATCAGTGGACTAGTCTCCTGCATGTTTCTGATATGAATGTAATGATTAAATGATATATTTTGGTGGTTTGAGTTGAAGGTGTGAGAAAGAATAGTATCAGTAACATTGTTAACACTGTGCTACATTACAGAGAAATACAAAACCGTACTAATGAACCTTCATTAATATAGGCCTATATTTTATCTACAAGTGCACGTCACACACTGAGCGAGCCGCCTGTTAATGACGCTGTGGGCTAATGGGCATGTAGCTACTTCCATGTTTCAGATGATACGTCATGTTTGTAGTCGACCAATGAAGATGAGTTTACATATCACCTTGAGTTCGTCCTTCACCTTCTCAAAATGATCCCACACTTTGGATTTCCTGCCCGACATGTTATTAACTAGCCTGTGGAATAACCGCAGGTACCAGCCCTGGAAATCAACCTGACTGGTCGACTATTAGGGGGCAGCCCTAGTCTGTACCATTTCAGTGTATTCAATATGTGTCACAAAAGCATTGTATGGGTAGCCAGACATTTTAATCACCCAGAATATGACAATTCTAAAGTAATCAGACAACAATATTTTTCTCCTCTACCTTCAGCCTCAGTGGACGAGGTGCAGCGAGCAAGAATCCAAATCTGACCAGACTATTTTCTTTCCACATGTTGCCAACAAATCACCTCCACAGAAACTTGTCCTGAAACCTGTACTTGTTGTCTTGTGTCGACTCATGGGAGGCACTTAACTCTGAATACAGTAACACCAGCTCCAAAGAGGAGCAGGGATAGAACGGCCTGAGAGAGGGATACTTAAACACACACTGGTGCATGAATACACACTCTGTAAATCTAATGGGTCACGAAACAAAACCAAAATACAATTTTCCGCTACACAAACTGATCTCTCAATGTTTGGACTGTTTTTCTTGTAAAATACTGGACAGCTTTATTCCCTCCGTCCTCCACAAATTATTCAAATGAAACGATGATTTAACTAAAACAATCTGGGAAGGGAAAATAACTGTTGCTCACTGCTTCTAGACACATTCAACATTTTAATGGGGCCCAAGTCAGAAAGGTTAAGAGCGGCTGCTTTGGACTTCTTTTGGGTGGAAATTATACATTTAATAACATGCTGTAGCAGCAACAGTCATAGCTTAATAAGCTGTCACAACTAGCAGAGGAAGCTACTGTTGACAGGCACTGAACAGAACCCAAGAACAAAAAAAAAAATGGAAATGCGAGAGAAAACATGAATGTTAAAAACATGTCTTCATGCATACAGTGTCCTTTGTTGCCCCTGTGAAAAGTATCTGCATGTATTTCATGCTTGTAGTACTCTTTGTCGTCATTAAAAACACAACCACACTATAATCATAGATCAGTATCTTCACACTCTTTCTGTCCTCCAGCAGCAGTTTCCGGAGAGCAGAGACGACAGAGGATAGAGAGTTTCTCTGGGAATCTGTGGCAGAGTCAAAACCGCAGTGACCACAGGCAGCTGGGGATTTTAGGACAGAGGCAAAGGGCAGCGAGAGGTCAATGAGCGACATGATGCTCTCTAACAAAGAACATGTACACACACACGGACGCGCACATACACACACTCAGCCTGAGAGTTCAATGTCTGGAGGGCAAAGTTATCTGGCCAAACACAAAGCTCCTCTCTCAAGCAGAACTTCTGACAAGAACTCAAAACAAGCGCACCCAAAGACTTAACAACAGGAAGTCCCTGAGAAACTGCTGAGGACAGCAGCTCCAAAACAATCCTCCTCTTCATCTATCTGTGTGTGTGTGTGAGTGTGTGTGTATGTGCGTGATGTGTCCTCCTGCATCTCTATGTGAGGACGACAGCATTGTAAAGGGTATTAGTGCTGTAATGAGCGTGACATTTTCAGACCCTGCCTGCTGAAGAGGCTGCATTCATGGCCCCTTCTGTCCACAGCCGACCTCTCAGCTGCATTCAGACACATCACAGCCAGGAAATCCCCTCCGGTGATGAGGACAAGATGCTTATTAATGCTGCTGGAGGAACACCGTGCACTTTCAAGACCCAAACTGATGACTTTTTCAAGATGATATGAAAAGTTTTCATTTGAAAACGCCCTGATAAGGTAAATATGTGCACCACACACAGATGATTCTATCCTGCGTGACGTTTACTGCAGTGGACCATAATGCCCTCTGGTATTATTGTAAAAAACAAAATCAGAGAGAGATCAGTGTTTATTTTGTTGTCAAAAGCTATGACTACAAACTTTTCATTGATGACCTTTGTTCCATGACGAAAACAAGACTATACCAGCTAAAAATAGATCTTGATAATATAAACTAAGACAAAATCTAGGTTTCATTTAACTGATAAAAATGTCGGACTATCGGACACTGAAAGTCAAGAAAGGCTGTGTTTGCAATTATCAAAAGATGCCACGTGAGCAACAGGCTGGTAGAGCCCGGTCTCACTCCGAAGTCATCAAAAATCAATGAAAAAAGCCGTCCTTTAACGTTGGTGTGATACATGGACGGTTGCTGCTAGAGTTTAACGGCACCTGGCGGCATCAGAGAGAAATGTGGCAGGACAAGGACGAAAGTTAGGGTGCCTGAAGTCCTAGTGGGGCGGGTGGGATTGGCGGTGTATGGGTCCAGCTAGACTCGTGTCACCAGGATCTTCACGTACAGCGAAGAGCCTGGTTTCCATTCAATCTGAATTTTGTCTGGATTCTGGTTTCGGTCTAAAGAGCGGATCTGGAATTCACCAAATTCACCAAAGTAAAACTTTAAATTCTGGCGCACCATCGTCTCGTCACATCCTCTTTCACCGTTTTGACAGGTGTAACATTATCAGGCAGCGATGTTGGCGATGCCATATTGTTGTTGTTGTTGTTGTGGTTGATAGAACATGCTACATGGCGAGTATCACGTAGTCTTCCTCTCTCTTCCGTCCCCACCGCCCCAAACTTTATTGAAAAAATGCATTTACAAACTACAGGTATAATGTATAAAACTAGGATCAAGTGCCTATCAAATAAAACAGACAACTGAAATAGACAATAACTTGTAATACAATTAAATACAATAAAAGAAAAAGGTTAACTTAATGGCTTGGGGCTTTTCTTGTAAATTATATTCTTTAAATTAAAAAGTTTCACTGCATTTTTATTAGCTTGGTGCTTTTATTTTGACGGAAAGGCGCATCCATAGAATTCCGGATCCTGTCTCTCTTGTCCTGGTTCCGGTTGCTTACCAAAATGGCCACTAAACGGCCCCAGACTAGGGTCCAACAAAC